AAGAAAGCATATATGATCACCTTGCAGAAAAAAAATTGGGCGAGGAATGATGAAAAAATTCAAACAGCGTGTTTTGTAAGATGTCATAATCTACTCAACGAAAAACGATTTACGCCTATCGCTTTATTTAACCAATTTAAGAAACCCTCAAAGAAAAAGCAAATGTTTCGGCGCAACTGTTAGTTGTTATCCTATGCTGCCTGTTGCATATTTGATATAATTAATGACAAAATGCGCAAATCTGATCTGTTTGTCACAGCCCAGTTTATGGTTTCTGACAACCCTCGCGATTGAAAAATAGGACTCATTCGAGGTCGTGCGATTTCATGATGTACGCAGAAAAATGAAGAGGTAAACGAATGATGGCCAGGACCCATCATCCAAGATGGAAACTATAAAAGTAAATTTAAGATTTTTTGTAGCGCTATATGCGGTCGAACCTGAACCAAGCGGCGCCGTTTTAAGCGGTTACCCTGTATTCAGCAGTCGGTTGTCAAAGTTCCGAAATTTTTTTCGCTTAAGCACATCAGTTTTCACCTCTATTAAGCGGTCACTTCTATTTAGTGGTCGTGGTCACCCTTGAATGAGCTCCAAAAGCCTTTTTATTGTTTAAGCGGAACTACCTCAATAAAGCTCGCTTTATGCCATGATGATGAGGCCCAATTAGGCGATAAATTTTACCCGTCAATCATTTATAAGACCAACTTTTTACCGCCAAAAAAATAGCGCAATGTTTAGCGTAAAACGCTTCCAAGTCTCAAATCTCAGAATGTAACGCGATGTCAGTGAAATCTGCAAGAATAATTGGATTATCCAGTAACGAGAGAGAAAAAAAGGAAAAAGTATACAAAACGGTATGATGTACAATCGATCGTTGTTTATTTATATTCAAGGCTCATTGAAAAAATGTTGTACATTGTTTAAAAAAAATTAACGATACCATTTACCTTAGATTAATCCAGCATTTCTCATCAAACATATTACATCTTTTTAAAAACCATCGCGAATTTAAAAATTATCACAGCGTTGAATTATATTTTCGTTTAAAAATAGCAAGGGAACAACTTGTAAATTTTTACAGTAATGTATTTCTAAGGAAATATCATGCCGACCTTTTGAAATTTGCTGTTAAACATAAGTGTAAATCGTCAAATTATCAAAATTAAGCAGTAAAACATAAATTAGAATGCCCGACCTTCCCTAAGTAAAATCCATAATGAATAACCTGATTTCCAACCCACGACGTTGATCTACACCACTCTTAGGGTGGCCCAAAGTAATATAAAAGCAATTATGTTATCAGGTTATCAAATGTTCTTAACATACATTTAATAGCAACAAAGACAATAAAAAAAACATTTTTTATGTTCATAATTTCGTGTTTACTTGGCTGGTGTGTAAACAATTGTCTTCTAACACGGTAACAGCCACTTCGTTCTCATTTTCTTCGTCGGAGTCGACTGGCTCAGTTTCAGCCTCTGTGTGGTATGATTTCTTCGCCAGATTCCTTAGGATAAGGCTGCGAATCACTTCCCGTCTCTGAGATGGCAACATATATGGAGTACAAATTTAATCCATCACATAAATATATTCAAGACGAGCAATGAACTAAAGGCTTGTTTCTCGAAAGTTTCGTTAGTTTCAAATTCCAAAAATCTACTCTTTTCGCAGTTTTTACATTACGAGGGATTTAATAATTTTTTTTAAATTCAAACGATCAGGAAATTTAAAAGAATGGATAGGGCTTTGAGGTAAGACCGCAGGTATTTTTTCCTAGATTAAAATATTTGAATACGGCCTCGAGCGCGAAAGGTTACCAGGAGCATTGAGAAAAGGGTCACAGGTCTCCCAAAATTTAAAGAAAACCACGTCTAATTTGTTTTCAAAGTTGTTTTCTTCAGCGGGGAAGTAAACGATCGTTTTTCAGATCAACAGTTGTTTCTGGGAAACATGGATTTATCGTGCTCGATTACCATTCCAGCTTGATAAGGAAAGGATCAAACATTTATCCCGTTTTTCTTTCAAGGATGGGATCCACAAGGTTAAACAAACATGACAACAAACAAGGACCGTAGATCATTTACCCATAATAAAGTCACTATCATCTTCCCTTAGTGACGAAACCCAACTGTTAAACTTGCAATGATTAGCTATAAGTCAGTGTCAAATCACTGAGCTCCTAGCACTCAAGCCTTAACATGTTAAGGAGCAGTTATTCAGTTCTTCGTACCTCCTTCTCGTTAATTCTGTCAACTTTCCAGCTGATTTTTTGTTTCTTTTTCAAAAGTCGTTTCCAAAGTAGCTATAAAAAAAGAAAAAAGTGGCTTTTTGGCTTGTATTACTGAAAATAAATTGGCAGCAAAAAGCTACTATAAAGACAATTGTATTTAATACATTGACGAACAATCACTAGAAATCTATTGATCAGTTATATTTGCACATTCAGCATAACTTTTTTAGTTAAAAGGATGAAACTTTAAATTTTCAAGGAGAAAAATGACAATGGCTTTTTGTTTACCCGGATTGAAACTCAAAACGAAAAAATATATAATAGTGGAGTAACTAGGTAATTTAACAGGTCAGTTTTAGCTTAATTGTCAATGGAACAGCTTTAGATGTCAGTTAATGTCATTGATATCAGGGTGGTTTATTCATTGCACCATTAAATTTGCCTTGAATCTAATTTAGGAGGAAACTTTGCCTACGTTGCTCAGTATAGTAAATCACTAGAGTAACTCACTAAGACTCTCTCTGAGCAGCAAGCTGAGATAAGATGCTGAGTAAAGCATACGATGGGAACAAACAAATACACCAAGTTGAAGGGTGGAGGAAGAACGCCCTTCTTGGAAATCCAGTTTAACCACAATCTGGTTCTTGTTAACTTCCATTCAGCATCCAAGTTGGCCTGTTAATAAAATGAAGTTTTGAAAATCTGATGAGTGGCACGAACATCTTAAACAGGATGAATTACGATTTGGTAAGACTCAAAGGTGCAATACCGGAACTTGCTTGAACCAACAAAAATTCCGAGCATGTACGACACCGATGAAATAACCATTTTTTTTAGAATACAGCTTACCGTTATCTGGACGTAAGAGTCGTTGAGTATCGCGATCAGCATATTGAGGGCTACCAGCACTGCTGTGATGTTAAAGGCACCAAATAAGGTCATTCCAGTTCTCCAAATAACACCATACTCCGCTTCGGAGATTTTGAAACTGCTGGGGTCTATCTGACCAAACAGCGACCAAAAGATCGTGTTTGTACTGTCTAAAATACTGCAAGACGGAAAGTACACATTTGAATTATCGAACAGCTAGAAAGGATGTATCATCTCTAGTCGAACAGCTTATAAGTTGCTCAATACGCGTTACGGTTAAGGAATGTCAAAATATGCATCCTTAAATTATTTGAGGCTGACTGCGAAAATTTGCTGTTTTTTTGCTCTGAGAAGATGAAAATTTGACCGTTTCTTAACTAGTTGCCGTAACTTGTTAAAATTAAGAACAGCACAAACTATTTAGACTCACCTTTCAAGATGAAGAGGATCTGTTTGATTTGAATCACCTGAACTCGTAAGGAAATACTGTCTGGCCTTAGCATACTGTAAATAGAGCTTGGTGAAGCTCACCACAAACGCGAGAAAGACAAATATAAAGTAAAAGAAAAATCTCATTACATCAAACATCATTCTCATGAAAGCTTGCAGTAGAGGACCAATTGTCGCGTTGGCCTGGATAAAGGCCAGGTTTTGAGTAAAGGCCAGCAGGATTGCCACTGCAAAAAAACAGTCGGAGACCAATACGATCGTGTACGAAAATTCATCGGCGTGGTTGGCCCACGTCATAGTTTCCAGTTTCTTTACAAGGACTGAGCGACCAGACCACCAAAAGATGTAATGAAGAACAAATGATAATACTGTTGCAACAGCCAGGTAGTTCCAATGGCTGGAAAAGAAACGGACTCTTCCCACGTGGTAGAATTGTTTGACAACATCCACGATATGTCCGAGCACAAACATGAAAATTACCCAATCTGCGTATCGAGAAAGAATTGTTAAGTGTCAGTAAGACAAACATTTTAACAGGAGGCTGGTGATGACGTAACAAAGTTTAGTATGGACAAGAAAATATCAACCGATATTCCCTCGGTATGAGAAAGTGCCAGGCTGCAGTTTCGTGTGACTTGCACTTTATTATCAAATTATACGCATTAAGTATGTGTCTAACTAAGTTCCATCTGAGGTTCGGTCAGTGGCTGAAGTGTCATCATGCCGTAAATCGGGATTGTTCCCAAGTTACCGCAATTGAATCGTTTGAGCATTTTTAACCCTTTAACTCCGAAGATCTGATTGTTAATTCTTCCTAATAGCTTCAACTCATTCCCTTGTATATCACTTGCAAGAATTTGGTTATAGATCAATAACTTCTACCTGTCTAAGTTTGAGTATTCTCATTACCTGTTCGCTAGATACTGTATGGATATTGTAGGGAGAAGTTGCATGCTAATCACTTCTAGGAGTTAAAGGGTTAAAGGGGTTTTTTTTTGGCGAGGCGCTTACTCAGTTTTTCCAGAGACATTGCCTTACTCGGAGGTCATTTGTGGAGATTTCCTGCATGTACCAAGCCTTATATTAAGTCTCTGCCATAGATGAACACTCTTCTTTCCAATACTAAGTGGCCAAAGATAGTCAGAGGTTGCAGTCGGACTAATTACGGTTCGAAGCTGGCTGTTTACCAATATCCTTATTAGAATTTAGACAAGAAAGGCTAAGAAAAATGACATCCGGAATAAATAGGGCAGCACTTATTGTTAAGATGTGCGAGATGTCAACTTGCAAAATGATGAATTTCTCCTTTGCCTTCACTTACCAGCTATGGCGTACTGTAGAAAATCGCTCTGAAATTTAAATGAAGACAAAAACAGCATGAAAAGAAATGTTTGATAGGAACCACAATGAACAAGGAATTTTACGCAGGGAGAGTGAAACATCCTTGACACTTCGTGCTTCGGAAAAAAAGTGTCCAACACCAACCAAACCATGAAGAACAAAGGATACCAGACGAAAGCCAATAATATCAGGATAAACTGCTTCCATGAACTTTTCTCCAAGAATGGGACATCTCTGTATATTTCGGAATTTAACACAAGCTGGCTGTAAGGATGACTGACGAACTGCAAATGTAAAAGGTGAAACACTTTTTTTAAGTTTTGCCAAATAAGTTTCTGAAGCGGCCTTGTTAACCTCACTAGTTCCCAAAGCAATGAAAGTGTTTTTCCGTATGTAATGATGTATATACATGTAAGAATTACGTGCTTCTGATTAGCTGAACACGAGTGCAAAGTTGTAACGCGAGTGCAAATTACAAATAGTGTGCGCGCGCTGTTAAAATTTCGTCTGTCTCGACTTTCTGTGATGCTTTTTGATCGTGTCTATTGTCTATTTTCATGTCTATTGTAGGTAATATGATTTCTCGTGCAATTTGGTGTAAATAAGCTGTTGTAAATTTTTTTTAAAGACAACGAAATTGCAAGAGTCTCACGTAATTACCTATACTAGTTTTAGGGTAGCGTTTATATGCTCAGATGTGTAACATACCCCTGACAACAAAAGTTAGACCCATTATCGGGCTTTGTGACAAAGCACCTTACCGTACTGTGCGTAGCAAAGTTTCCCTTCCTTTCCCGGAGTGATCCCGTCAAATTAAAGGAAATCTCGTAACCATTCGATACGAGGTCAGGTATGCGCGGGCTACCGTACGATATGTGAACATCATGCAATCGTTACACCACTGATCTTTTTAATCGTGCGCAAAACAGTCAGTGACAAGCTAATAGTAAAAAAGATGGCCCACTTCTGACACCGTTGGCCATGCGTTAAGTGTTTGACCAGCTTGAACTTATCAAAACGCAGCATTAAGTTCTCGCTGTGGACAAAGGCTGATCGTAGGAACGTTTGCATGCGTGTAAGGGTTCTTCCTTTGGTTATCTGGTTATCGCCTCGGGGAAACTTGTGTCACGCTCGAAACCATTCTAAATATATCTGATTATTTTGATTAAGATAGCCTTGAATCGGTGCACTGCCACTAAACTTACGCTTAGATTAAGTACCTTTTCATTTTCCGTGACAGTGGCAAACTCCAGAATGTTCAGACTGAGCTTTCCTTGGACGTGTGGCAGCGCTTTATCTTCATTCTGCATTTCCATAACACACCTGATCTCTTTCATTGAGCGGCATTCATTCAACAAATCCACGGCAAATTCTTTACAGCCATCGCTGAGAGCCAAATACTCTTTTCTGAATTCATACTCCTGCTCAGCGATGTCAGACAGTTTCTTGTTAAGAATACATGCGCGATGAACAGGATCCGGGCCGCTGAACGGGTTTTGCAGAAATGAAGCCGCCATGTACACAGGACTTGCAAGAGCTCGATACCTGTTCAACCGGAGCATGGCAGGTCCCAGCTTCTCGCTGACGACTTCGATGGGGCGTTGAGAATCACTTTGCAATTCACAAATGGTAAATCCGTGCTCAAGAAGAAGCTTCACAATTTGGAAATTCCTCAAACAGGCCGCCAGGATCAGCGGTGTCATGTGGAGCTCTTGTTTCGAATACTTTCTAATGCATGGAGACAAAGGTGGAAAAGGTTCCGACAACGGAGGACCATAAAATTTCAGTAAAATTTTCAAGCTTCTCACGTCATCAACGCGTACCACGTATAACAAGGCTAGATCCAGGTCAGCTCCTTCGCTCAGTAAGGACTTGATTATACTGCTTCGGACAGGAGCATCTTCCACATCTACCGCTTCTTGTAAAAGTGTTTTACCAGAGCTGTTGACACAATTCAGGTCGCATTTTGTTTTGGAAAAGTCAAGAATAGTCCTAAATTTTTCCAGATCTCCTTTTTGTATAGCCGCAAAGAGCTTCCTTTCTAGCCTGTTTATTGGTTGAGAGACACCATCAACTGCGCTAAACTCTTGCAGGAAGATGTCTGTCGCATCCATTGACACTTGCTTTGCGTCTGGCCAACCCTTCGGTTACCTTCGGTAGAAGCGACATGGTCAGTCAATGAGAGTTAAACCCACATAACAATCAATCTTCAGTACCAGCCTATAGGCAAGAACCTTGAATGAACGAGAAAGGCCCCTGACATAATTGATCTTCATTTAGCCAGCCTCTTAACAATTCCATTTATCGAGGATTGCATTGCTGCATTGTATTTACTCCTTTCATGCTACCAAGCATTTCTTATAAATTAGATGAGAAAATTTGGTTATATCTGTCTTCATTACCTGTTTATCTGCAACTGTATATTAATATTGTTAAGAGAATGCATATGTTAACTTAACTCTTTAACTCCCAAGATTTCATCAGTAATTCTGCTTACTGTCTGCCATACAATTTATGTGATTTTAGTTAGGAGAATTTGGAATTGGATTAACCAGTAATACCCTGATTGATATTTTTCTTTCTTCTCATTACTTGTCTGCTTGATATCGTACTGATAGTGTAAGGAGAAATTTTGTCGAGGTCACCAGTGGGACTTAGAGGGTTAATCATTTCTGAGATTTAACAGTTTAAACGTTTCCGGGTCAGTGCCTTACACTAATTTGGTTATTCTCAGAAACGTTCAAGAGCTAATGCAAGTAAAAAAAAAAAAAAACAGTTCAACATGGGAGCACGTTAGAGAGACAAACATGAACATGAAAGGTAAAAAAAAACATTCGTGCATAATGAGCAGACGTGTTTTTTTACCACCGTATTTGATGCCCTTTTCATGCTACTTCAGGAGCTAAATCACTAACCGAACATCTGCTGGACTTGTGTAACCATCAAAGAGATTGGAAAATGCAGTAGGAATGAGGGTTAAATCTACCCAAAATAAAGAGGAAATCAAATGTCCTCGGTGGTCTTGAAAGTTTGGATTGATCTCAATGCAAACGCCGTATTTGCATTCTTCAATCAAGCACCCCTTGGGAACGCCCGAAATTATCTCACCGCACGCATTTGCCTTCTATTAAGCTCCCCCTGGGACTGTTTATGATGGTTTCTTTGTGCCAAACGAAATGCCAGTATTTGTGTCGAGAAGAAAGGAAATCAGATGGTTGAAAGGCCGTATAAAGTATTATTCAAATAGCACAGAAACATTTCAGAGCTCGACCTCTGCTACTTTAATATTTGGGGGCGTTCATACCCACCCTGGTCCTCATACCTCGTCTTCTATAGTGGTTCGTATCACTAAGCGCCAGTAATGAAAATGTATGTTTTAAAGAAGACAACAGTAAATCGTTAACATAAGGTCCACAAATAGTTCTGGCCAAATGTCACAACAAAATATAACAAGAACAATTCAAAACATGTAAAAATAAGAAACCAAAAAATAGCCTTAAAGGCGGCACCGATAAAGTTGATTTCACCCCCCGTAATCGAAGGCCTAGGTCTATTTAAGGCTAAATTCGACAAACCCTTCCTTATACAGGTCATGGTTTTGAACTTAAAAGTCCAGAAACTGTGTTGATCAAATAAGCCAGAGAATACACATCACTTTCAACCGATGGACTCCCCGTTCGGTTCTCAAGCTTCGGCGTATTGCAACTATTCTTACAATGACCTTTTAAATGCGAAGGTTTTAAAACAGCATTTTTAGCTTTTCCGAAGGCAAAACTCTTGCCAAAATCGACTATAACAGGGTAGAAGCTAGTCTTCACCTTCCTCTGAAACAACGTTATTGCATTTTGGGTCATCGTCAGCAAATTCACACTTGTGAATATGGTCTAACGCGACTGCCGTGTAAGGAGGGTAAAGGAGAGATTAAAAATGACCCTCAGGTATACACCACCCAAGAGGGTATAGAAGAGATTAAAAAT